CACTCATACTTCACTGGGATAGTGCACTGGAAATCCAGCCCTGCTATTCCCAGACTCCTCTCGAGATGATAACATTATCATTATCATTAGTGCACAGCATTCCCCAAGTCACTAGTCAAACCTATTTAACAGCAAACAAGGACTGAGTTGCTATAGTGACAAAAAATACACTTTTTTTTTAATTACAAAACTTAAACTAACTACAGAATCAACAATGTCTTGCTAGACATTTAACTCTACTAATTAAAATTCTAAACCCCTACCTTCTCCCCCACCCAAAATGTACATACACAAAAAGAATGGTTCCCATGAAGGGAGGAGCAAACTAGGGAAACAGTTCAGTAGTCAGTCCTTCCAATCAGATGGAGTTCCTTCCTTTTTTTTCCCCAAACTTCTTCTTCAGTTCTTTCACATCTCCACAAGAGATACAGAGCAATGGTCCACAAATTATAAATGGCAATGCTTACTGCAACTGGAGGGAACAAATAGGTTAGGTTTTCTTTTTCAGGCTTGGAGTATTCTTTTACCAAAGAAAATACAACATCATCTGCCTTTTCACCCCTGTCCAAAGGCTTCTGCTAGTGTCATTTGCAACAACAAGCTGTTTAACCATGCAGGAGCCAATCAAGTGTCAGGCTGATGTCCATTAGCATCCACAACTGGTCAATGTGACAAAACAGTCAAGCTGTCATCAGGCAAATCTCGCTCTCTCTCGTGTACATATGCTGATACTGACCCATCAACAAACAGCTTCCTTTTCCTCCTTCACCCCAAATAATAACTGTTTGCAAAGAAATGATGTAAAGTTACATGTAATGAATTTCAGTCACTACTTTTTAATTTCTTGTTTAAGAAAAAAAAACAACAGGTTTTTTCCTGTAACAGTCCTCTCTTTTTTTTTTCAGCACACAATTAAATAGATATGGTTGAGGCCTTGTGAGACTGTGGCTAGATTTGAGTTTCAGGAGTGGGCATTGGTCTTCATGTTCAAAGACCTTACATTTCCCTCTCCCTTAAAATTTTAGGCCCGCACCACCTTAAACCACCCAGGCTTTCAGTCGGGTTGAATGCAGAACAGGAGACCACTCCTCTTCAATTTACCTTTAAAAGTTACGATCACGAAATATAATAACTTCACTTGAATATTGAATGAATTCAACTTAAAACTAAGTGTTTGAATAATTGAGTTTCAGACTAAAGCACAGTTGCCAGTGCTGTTGTGCTCACTTCACTTGATTGTAAGTTAATGACCTTAGTCAGAACTTATTAACAGACCAAAACATGGACAAAAGATGTTTCAAGGCCAACACTTGCTGGGCAGATTGGATTAAAATCAATGTCTCTATGCAAGAACAAAACCTGTTTGGGTCACAGCCGTCATTTTTTCACTTGACCTGAATGTACTTCACATTAAAGCAGTAATGTGAACTAAACTGGAGTATGAGACAATATCTGCTCCACTTATATTAAAGCCAAGCCCAAATCAGAAGCCTTTTTTCTTTGCAGCCTAATGTTTGATTTGACTTCTCCTACATTCCTTCATGCAACTGTTTTAATTGAGAATATCATCCATAAAATGGTCAATAAATGGCTGTTTGTCTAACTGGAAGATTAGTTTCAGTTGGAAATGGTATGTTCACTTTTCCTGTTTTATAAGTCCCCATTCACAGTTGCATGTTGTGAATGAACAAAATTCCATCCTTGAGGCTAAACCTTCATCTTTATTCTTCTTATTATGAGGCTTGTAGCTGTAACTAAACGTTGAACTGTCAAAGGATCACAAATTGCACCAACTGTCTCCCCTTAACAAATGTTGTGAATCACATACTTTTACGTTGTTCATTTCCTCTTGGCACTGATCAAAGCATTTGTCATAATAGCATAAAAATGCTTGCCTGAAGCAAGTTCTGTTCCAACTTGATTGCAAGGCAGACTGGATGTCAATTAGCCATTGGTTTTTTTTTAAAATGGATTCTTTCAGCGCTTTTTGGAGTAGAAGGGATTTTTTAAAAAAAATCTTTATCTATACTAATGAAAGCTTGTGCTTTTGCAGCAAAATCAATTTTCTTTTAAAAGTCCCACTTTTCACGCCACCTTCCTAACACCTCACCATTAACTTTCAAGTTACCCAAGCTATTGTGAACGATGTTTATTTAAGTGGCTGTATCCTTTTTCACTTAAAGACTCAGCAGGTATTGTCTTTAAGTTTGACTGCACTCCAGAAAACAACTTTTTGATCAGTTTTGCAAACAGTTGGAAGAAAAGTGGTTACTTATCCTCTTTATTTGGCAATAAGCATGAAAGTAGCTATCTGATAAATGTATGACTTTGTTTTAATAAAGTCAAACAGTTTACTTGAATTGGTCCTGGATCCTCATTCTGTAGGGATTGACAGACCTCATTTAACTTATGAGGTCATCTTTATTTTAAATCTCGTACTTCTTTTTTGTGCTGCTAGGAAATGTTGGCAGTTGTTTGGTGCCTGGCACAATATGTACGATTAGCAGGTATTTGCCATTTATAACTAGAAAAAAACACTCAAATTCTGAGAAAGGAAATGCTAAATTTAGAATTGATAACAACATCAACATGCCTTCAAGCATCAATTACTAATTAAACTTACTACAGTAACTTGAGTTTGCATTTAATGGCGAAGGGAATATTCTGATTCATAGCCCCTGTTGAAACAGTAGATTCTCATTCCTGCAGGTAGTAAATTGCTCTTTAAGTATTTTGTCTCCATCAAATGAGAGAATCTGTGACTTGGCACTGATTCACTCAGTTTCTTCCTTGCTCCTTCCTCTCTTGTTCCATCCTCGCATCTCCATTAACAGAAAGCTACTCCTTTTCACTTTATGAAGGTTCCACCATATTCCTGTCTCCTTTGAATTGTTTGTTTGAGCTGGTTTTTTTCTTTTGGAGCACAAATTGTTTTCTCTCCTCAATGTTCAGAGACTACACAATACTACATAATTAATGATTGGTTGGTTAGTCAGTTTCCATACAAAGCTGTGGATCAGCACAGGAATTTCCACAAATTGCATATGTGGATGAGAGCATCGATCGAATACAACATGTTTGTTCCAAATAAAGTAGAGAACTCCATCTGAGTGGTGAGATGGCAAAGTATTGGCATTGAGAAGGTCTCTGGCATCCTTGTACATGAATTACTAGAATATGCAGAGTCACTGATCAATTTGGGAAAGTCTTGTGTTCCAAAGTGGTTTGGGACACAAGTGAGAGAGGTCTTTTAAAGATATATGTATGATGTATTGATGCCTCGCCTGGAATAATTTTCATGCAGATTTAGTCTCTATACCTAAGGACATCACAATCGCACTTTTTTTTTTTAAAAAGAAAATCATTTTAATGTCCTCTTGAATGCCTCTTTCTTTTATCAAATGACCTGGTAGTGTATTCCAAACATGTGCATACTTGCTCCTTCTGCACAAGGCTTTATGCTGTTGCCCTGTGTGTACCACTTTGACTGTATTAACCACACACACTCCTCCTACACTGAACATTTAATAATTGTGTAAATATAACTTGATGGCTTTGTTTTTACATACCCTTCAGAACAGGATCCTTGCTGTATTATATACTGTCTCCACGCTCTTTGTTCTAGAGTATTCCCACTCACCACCTCAGCACTGTTTTCCTGCCCAAAGTTGACAACATCCTTTTTAAGTTCCACACTCTGTTCCTTCATTTAGCAAATTTTTTGAGCCTCTCAAATTTTGACATTATTCCCTGAACAACACGATCTAGGAACTCCATACCAACCCAAGGCAACTCCAAATTTCCACCCTGAAAAAAAAAATCTAACCGCTTACTATAGTTTGTTCTATCCTCTTAACAGATTTTAGCATGCAGATTGCTACTGTTCTCTTTATTCCATGACCTAAACTCATCCTTTTTCCTCAAGTTTGTGTAGCACTGTCTTGAATACTTGTTTTTATATACATGGAGTTTGTGTTGGGACTAGTTTACATTGTGAAAACTGAGCAGCATGGGCAAGTCGGGCTGAATGGCCTGTTCCATGCTATAGACCTGACTCTTTCTACCACATTGATCTTCATGCTCGTCAACCTTTTTTTCAAACTCCTCCAGCAAACTGGTTTCACATGACTTTGCTTTTAACAAATCTGTGCTGACTCTTAATTCCACCCCATAATTGTTTTTGTTTCTAGAAGCTGCTACACCACTTTTTTTTTTTTTTTGCTTTTTTTTTAATAAAAGCAATTATGTTTTTTTTAAACACTGCCTCTTGTGACTTTTTAAGGTGATTTGTACTTTGTAGTGAAACTTGATTAGATATTCCATATTTGCCATGAAGAATAAAACATTGAAATGTCGAAGTCTTGATAGCTGTGGTAAATGCTAAGAGAATTTTATCCCCCCCACAACTCCCCTGCCACTGGGAAGTCTAGAGATGGGTCAACTCCTGGATCTGAAGTCTTTTTCTCAATTTAGGACTGATGGAAAATACTTTCCACTCTCAAAGGACAATGAATCTCTCTAGCATTCTGTGTCACAATAATTTTAAAATGTCAAATGTACTGCTTCGGTTTTTTTTTGAGATCTAATGTTCCACTGAACTTTAGGCTGCTCAACTCTTTGAAACGAAGGAGGCACTGTATCCAAAGTTGATCCCATTCAGACCTAAGGCCAATCTCCTATTTTAAGTGCTGGGCTTGCAATGTTTCTTATCCAGGTTCACTAATTATTCCCACTGTATGGCTTGGCTTAGATCAGCTAAATCTAACCAGAGTGCCCAGAACCTTTTTTTTCTTATCTGTTTTACAAGATGCATTGAGGTGCATCTTGCATGTTATTTGCAGAGGCAATAAACACATGCTTTGATCTCTTGGGAGATTTTAAAAAGGATACAGTGGTTCAATAATAGGTCATTTTTGCTGCTTGGTAAGCTTCAAATATTACATCTTGACTGTCCAATTAAGACATCAGATTTTGAAAAAATTGCTTGTTATTTCTTGTAGAATGCCAAATTTGGGTGGTGGAAATAAATGTGGTGTCTGCCAGAAGACGGTTTACTTTGCTGAGGAGGTGCAGTGTGATGGGAGATACTTTCACAAGTCCTGTTTTCGATGCAGTAAGTAACCTGTAAAAAATTTTCTTTTTTGTTTTTGTACCTTGATACTAACCTTTTTCAAGTGTTAGATTCTTGCATTATTATTGACAATTCTTGAACAATTTCCATTTAGTTCAGAGCAGGAATAGGCCACTTGACCACTCAAGCCTGCTGTGCCATTTAATGAGATCATAGTTGATCTGATTTGGACCAGGGAGTTTCTTCTGTAGAACAACAGAAGCTGTTGGAAAAGCTCAGCAGGTCTGGCAGCATCTGGAGAGAAATCAGTTGATGTTTCGGGTCTAGTGACCCTTCCTCAGCACAGCTCTGAGGAAGGGTCACTAGACCCG